TATATGTCTTTCACATACAACGATAAAAAAGGAGTCAATTACCTTTTGAATGGCAGTTCCAAAAAAACGTACTTCTATGTCAAAAAAGCATATTCGTAGAAATCTTTGGAAAAAAAAAGGATCTTTAGAGGCAGTCAAAGCTTTTTCTTTAGCTCAATCTATTTCCACCGGAAAATCAAAAAGTTTCTTTGTTGCACAAAAAAAAGTCTTGGAAAAATCTTAATTGATATGTTTCAAAGAACTTCCAAAGTATTGTGTATTGCATTTTATTTTACTTATTAGTTATTATTAGTTAGAGCTAAGTAATAGAAAAATAAGAATCTTTCTGTCTACTTGATTCGAAGTACTCAGTATTTTATATTTTATTTTTTATATCTTTATATCTATTGAATTTTAGATTTATTGATATTGAATTGAATTCGTAAGATTTTTTTTCTTTCCTATGAATTGTGCTTTTCCATTTTGAAAAGCACAATTACGATAGACAAGTAAGAATCTTAATATTCCATTCTACTTTATACTACGTCCTTGGGTCTCAAAATCATTAGAAAAAAGATTATGAATTTTATACTTCGACTGAGAACGAAACTTTTGAGTTCTGACTGTTCTGGATAAACAAAAGCTAGATTTATAGTACGGATAAAATTGATTATTAAAAATGAACTTATGAAGATGAAGATACTAATTAAGTAGTATTTATATTGAACATTTCCATATGAATATACGAATGGAAATGCATATTTCTTCATTGTTTGCTAAACTTTATTCAATATAGACAATTCAACATGAATTTCCTATTATTATTTAAAGTAAGCCGCCGCCATGGTGAAATTGGTAGACACGCTGCTCTTAGGAAGCAGTGCTAGAGCATCTCGGTTCGAGTCCGAGTGGCGGCATAAATAATATTAATTCATGTTAATAATATAGATGCAATAGATCTAATTGTATAATAGATCTAATAGAATCTAAAAATCTCAATATTTTAGATTCTATTTAAAACCCCAATTTCAATTTTTTAAAAAGGACTTTTCTTTATGATATTTGCGACCTTAGAGCATATATTAACTCATATTTCCTTTTCGATCATTTCAATTGTGATTATAATTCATTTGATGAACTTATTAGTCTACGAAATCGAAGAATTACGTAATTCGTTAGAAAAAGGAATGATAGCTACTTTTTCCTCTATAACAGGGTTTTTAGTTACTCGTTGGATTTCTTCGGGACATTTTCCTTTAAGTAATTTATACGAATCATTAATTTTCCTTTCATGGAGTTTATCCATTATTCATATAATTCCGTATATTAGGAATTATAAAAATGATTTAAACACAATAACTGCACCAAGTGCCATTTTTACCCAAGGTTTCGCCACGTCAGGTCTTTCAACTGAAATGCATCAACCCGCAATATTAGTACCTGCTCTACAATCTCAGTGGTTAATGATGCATGTCAGTATGATGTTATTGAGCTATGCAGCTCTTTTATGCGGATCTTTATTATCAGTTGCTCTTATAGTAATTACATTTCAAAAAAAAACCAATTTTTTTTTGAAAAACAAGAATTTTTTCAGTTTAAGGAAATCGTTTTTATTTGGTAATATGGAATATTTGAACGAAAAAGGAAGTATTTTAAAAAAGACTTCTTTACTATCATTTAAAAATTTTTACAAATATCAATTAATTCAGCATTTGGATTCTTGGAGTTATCGTGTCATTAGTTTAGGGTTTACCTTTTTAACCATAGGTATTCTTTCTGGAGCAGTATGGGCTAATGAAGCATGGGGTTCATATTGGAATTGGGATCCTAAGGAAACTTGGGCATTTATTACTTGGACCATATTTGCAATTTATTTACATACTAGAAAAAATTCAAAATTGCAAGATCAAGTTACGAATTCGGCATTTGTAGCTTCTATAGGATTTCTCCTAATTTGGATATGCTATTTTGGGATCAATCTATTAGGAATTGGGTTCCATAGTTATGGCTCATTCCAATGAATATCTAATTGACTAATTAAATAAAAGAAACTGCATAAAGAATAAATAAAAAATAAAGGATACATAAAAGAATCGTCCGATACACAATGAAATTTTGTGCGAGTTTTTGAGAACCTTTTGAATAATTCCTCTATTTAAAATTTAAAAGGTTCTCAAAAACTTTAGATATATCTAATTACAATTCTAATTAACACTTACCTTTTTTTCATTGCACAACGAAGAATCGTGAAAATATGAAAGTCGAAGAATTCTAAGACTTTTTTTCCAATTAATTAAATTTATTGAATCTAAAGAAAGAATGAGTATCTATAAAAATAGAACTTGTACCTTGTCAACCGATAATGGGAGAACAAATCAGGATAAATACCAATTCCTATTACAGGTAGAAAGATATAGATCGAGACAAAGAGTTCTCGTGGTCCAGACTCAAAAAAATTCGAGTTTGTAATATTAAATAGCTTGTATCCATAGAAGATCTGACGTAATATCGTAACATAGATAATAAAAAATAGAATTTAATATCATTCCAATTGATATCACAAAAGTAATTAACATTTTTGGTATGAAAAGATATTTTGGGCTGGTAATTATTCCAAAAAATAGTAAGAATTCTGCAACAAAACCACTCATTCCTGGCAATTCAAGAGAAACCCTCGAGAAACTACTAAACATGATAAATATTTTTGACATTGGAATTTGACATTGGAATAGGTATACCCATCTCTTCGAGATAAAAAAAAACGTATTCTATCACAACTTTTTTATGCTAAGAAAAAAGCACAGCACCAATCAATCTATGAGATAGTATTTATAAAATGATTTCATTAAGTCCTATGACAGTTATTCCTATAATTAGGAAACCCATACCTAGAATTCCTATTAAGAAAAAAAAAGAACCTCCGGTAAAACTTTGTAGTCGAGTATAGACATTTTTTTCCTCCCCACATGGATAAAAGTAAATAAAAAAGGAATTAATTTTAATTCCTACACGATGAGAAAAAGGAAAAAGTCTCGAGAAGAATATGATGCTATTTGACCACTATACATTGCTAACATCAAGAAATATAAAAATCGCGGATTTTTAGTAATTGGCCAAGCTACTAAAGTAGTTCTAAATCCTGTCAGTAAAAAGGGTCCTATGGAAAGTCCATCGGTTTCCAGTCTCCATTGAAAATCAAAAAGATTGTGATCCATTTAGAATCCGTCTTAGATTGGGTTAATGGATCCTCCAATTAGGAAATGATAACAAAATAAAAACAAAATAAATAGATCATTAGAAGGAACTCTAGGATACATATATATAGAGTATACCATCTATACCTTATTTCTCCTATGAGTGAAAAAGATAATTGAAGAACCCGCAAATATGGTCAAACCAAAAAGTATTGTTAACCAAGGAAAATAACTCGTGATAAAGACAAGATAAGATTATACCAGAAAAGCCCGTGCTCGGGAGAAGAATAATATATTCTCTTTTCTCGAATACGGGCTTTTGTTGGTAAAGAGGAATCAAATGATTCAAGTGGAGTTTTTTATCATATATCAATAAGAAAGACCCATGCTGCGAGTTGTTTCATGCCATAAATAAACACGGACACTCAAAAAATCCGTTGGACAAGCGGATTCACATCTTTTACAACCTACACAATCTTCGGTTCTTGGCGCAGAAGCAATTTGCTTAGCTTTACATCCGTCCCAAGGTATCATTTCCAATACATCCGTGGGGCAAGCTCGAACACATTGGGTACATCCTATACATGTATCATAAATCTTTACTGAATGTGACATTGGGTCTGTAAATTCCAGTTTTGAACACAAAAAATTTTCAATCTGGTAAAATAAGAAAATGAAAGAATCATATATTTTCTATTGTAGACACCAGATGAATCAATGATTTATCAAAATTTTAAGAATAAATAGATTTTTTAATCTGTTTATGAGAAAGGACCAAGATACTTTGATTTCCATTTCAATAACCATGAAATATAAGTTTACGAATTCAATTCATGTTAATTTTACTATATGTATGTTAATTTTACTATATGTATATAGATATAGAATAGATAAGGATATAATATATAAAGATTCTAGTATATAGAAATCTAATTATATAGTTATATAGGTAGAATAATTATATAGATAATAGATAGATAAAAATAGAATTATAGAAATAGAATTAAGGATATATTGATATATTATATATAAATATCAAATATAAATATCAAATTAATATGTTTGTTATTAGGTTAGTGATAGAAGAGGTTAGTAACTATAAATCTCAATCATAAATCTATATGAAAAAAGAAAAGAAAGAAAATAAATAAGTAAATAATAATAAGAGAATTTTAGATTCTCTTAATATTGAATTATAATTATATTATCTTATTATTCTAATTCTATTGGATTCTATTTATATTTAGAATATTCTAAAGAATATTCTAAAATTATAAAAGTCTTATATTTCGATTTATATGTGAAAATAGAAGAATTATGACTGATTCTTCAGCAAATTTGTACAAACCAATGAAGTGATCCTATTTCCAAAGGTCCGCAAATAGGAATCATTGGAATATTATGAACCGTTCATAAACAGCACAGCAAATATGATTAATACATTTATGGTTCCCACAAATAAGAAACTGAGTGGCAGCTACAAAATAGGAATTAAAAAAACTATAGAATTAAGGATATACAAACAAAAAGAACCAATACCAATGAAAAGGCAGAATCAATGGGATTGGTAAGTAATACTATTCCCAGACCTCCTAATATAAGAACTGATTCCAGAAATATTACTAAAGATATTGAATAGTTACAGGTAAATGATTTGTATGGGATAAAGTAATTATGAAACTTTGTCCAATGTACTTTGTGGCTCATATTTTTTTTCCTTAATTCATTATTTCATTCATTTATTAAAATGAAAAATATAAACAAAGAATAACTGAACTAAGAAAAAAATAATTAAAAAATAAAAAAGAATAAGAAATTCAAATTGAATTAATAAATTTTTGATTCCCTAATATTTAATTGATCCATTAATTTCTTATAACGCACTTTATTTTTCTTTGACAAATAAGTCAATAATCGTTGACGTTTTCCTAGAATTATTCGTAGACCCTTTTGTGATAAAAAATCTCTTTTGTGCAATTCTAAATGTGAAGTAAGTCTCCGTATCTTACTGGTAAAATGGAATACTTGAAATTCAACAGATCCACTATTTTCTTCTTTTTCTTCTTGTGTAATAACTGAGATGAATGAATTTTTTTTTACCATAAATGAAAATTTGTATCTTTATTTTCTGTGAATTTTACCGATCAGGAAAAAAAAAGAATAATTATGCCAGTTATTTTTATCTTTTCAGCTAGTATACATCAATTTTGAATTCTATTTACTTAATCTTTTTACTTAAATAAATTCCACTCTTCCTAATGAAAGTTGATATACTATGAAATCAGCATCATGTATTATAATATTACCACATAGTGTATATGTTTTGACTTTCTCATCTACCAAATATGTTAGACGATATGTAGGAAATCCACTATAAATTCTTTTTCATTGGAATTGAATTCATTCCTAATTGTTAATACATATGTATTCTTGACATACTGAAACGACTGCTGTTATTGGCATCAAACCAATAGCGATTCATACAAGCTAAATCTTCTAATCTATAATTGGGCCAAAGAAACAATTTGAATTTAATGAAATTTTTTCTATCTGTATCTGTATTAATATGTTTGTTCTCATTCAAAAATTGTCCACAGTTTCTTATTTTATTTTCATTGCAAAATCTTGGATTTCTATCCACAACATGAAAATTCTGGGAATTTAAACAAATTCGAATTCGAAATTCTCTACGACGTCTGGGGGATAGAATATTTTCAGGAACAAGTAAATCATAATGATTTTTGTCTCCACTCAAAAATAGGTTGCTGTGTTGTGCAATGGATTTTTCAAACCCCCCTTTCTCAATTCTTTTTTTTGTGTATTTTTTATTTGTTTGGTACTTCTTATTATCGACTGATGAAATATCCATAGTTTGATATATAATAGAATTTCCATCCCTTCGTATAGATAGACAAATTGGTTCAATAATAACTATTCCCTTTCTTATCAATTCTGCAAGAACTAGGTCCCTTTGAATCAACATTTCATCTAGATTAATTTCACTTCTTTGAATCGAAGATATAGCAATTTCCTTTATATTTATCAGTCTAAGTAGGAGACAATATACCCTTATATTTTTCATTATTTTCTTATTCAAATGATCACCCCATCTTAGTTGAAAAAGAAAATATTTTCTCAAAAAGAAATCTAGTTCCATTTCATTCTTGCTCTTATATTGTTTTTTTTTATACCTTTTTTTATTTCTAAGCTTGCGTAATCTTCTTCAACAGCTTTTTTATTCTTTTGGTTTAGTAGATTCAATACAAAATTTCTTTGGACCTCTTGTTGGTTTTCTTCCTGCTTGGATTTTACTAATTCAAGATCTTTTTTTTTCTTAGATGATTTTACGTTAATTCTTTCATTTATAGAAAAATGAAAAAAGAGTGATTTGATTGGGATGATCCAAGGTTGAATTTTATATACATCAAAAAGTAGTACAAATTCTGGGAAGAACCAAGTTTCTAGATTGGATATAGTATCATGATTGGATACGATATCATTATCATAGAACCTTTTTTTATTCATTCCCATGCACTCAAAAATGAAATTGCATGTTTTGATCTCTTGATGAATTGTAGGAAAAAAAAGATCTTTTTTTTCCATTTTGTTGAAATTATTAATTTCAGTCTTAGTATTTTTATGAATCTTGATGCCAATATGTGCATTGATCCAGATATCCATATTATTCTCAATATTATTTAGAAAACAAAGATGAAGAATTCTACAATCAAAATATTTTCTATCCAAATCCAAATTAGTATTCCTATCAATAAGAAATCCTTTTTCTAGATAATCATTACTAGGTATACTTACCAATACATAAAATGATTCAGGTTTCGATGTATTGAAATGATATGTAATTTCTTGGTCCCCGTTTTTTTCTAATGTTGATCCAGAAATGTATAAATTAGGGAGGCTTATGTATTTATATGATAAAATATCATATCTGTAATGTTTTTTCCATTTATCTTTTTTATTCATAAATGAATTCTCTGCATAGTCATTTTCTTTCATGGAATAAATGAATCGGTATTTTTTATAGAGATCCAATTGGTTTGATTCCTTGTTTTGAATCATACGATGTTTATCAATTCTATTTCTCCATTCATTAGGTACTAATTGATACTTTTTTTTTTGAGATAAATCGTATTGATAATAACTTTTTAACCAGTTTTTCCATTCGTTCATTACAAACGTATTAATTTGCTTATGTCTTGATTTAGAATTAAATATTCCGTGTATCATACAATAGTCTTTTAAATTATCCTTAAAAAAAGGATAGCTCCCTTGATATTGAAATACAGGTCTCAAATGATACTTATTAAGTAATTGGTTTTGGGATATTTTGTAAAAAACATATGCTTGGGATAGGGAAGATAAGTTCCAATAAGTATTGGAATTTTTATTGCTAGTCTTAGTATTATCAATATTTGAAAACAATTTGTTTATAGTCAAAAGAAAATTCATTGTATTTTGATTTCTTTCATCAATTCCTTCTTGTTCTTTATTTATTTTTATTTTATTTATTTCATTGTTGTAAATGGATTTATTAAAGATCTTTTTTGTTGATTCAAAGAAAAGTTGTGTATTGATCTTAGAAATGGTAATGGTACATAAAAAAATATCTATGTATATTTTTTCAATGAATGATTTGATAAAGTAATGTGATTTACGCATTAATCGGATACTTTTCTTTTTTAATATTTTCAAAATATGCTTCTGTAATCCCGATCTTTTATTATCATATTTATTATCATAAATTAGAACTATTTCTTTTTTTTTCTTGTCTTTTGCAATTCCTTCAATTTGATTCCTGATTTGAATTGTCTTATCAGAAAGATCTTTCATTCTTCTTTCTATTAGTGAATAATTGAACCAATTTATCGTTTGATTTAGAACGGATGATTCGCTAGGAATATTTCTTTTGAAATCTTTTTTATTTTCGTTCGGTTCATATACTTTTTCTTTCTTCACTTCAAATAATAAATTTGGATTTACTTTATCCAGTTTTTTCATTATTAGGTTGATAATTCGAACTATTTGGATGACTCCTTTTTTTTTTCTTTTCTAACTTTTAGAAAGGATTTTTTTTTTTTAGAAGTTGTAAAAATTTCTTTTTCACCTTTTTTTTTCTTTTTTGAAGTTCTTTATAAATAGGTTCAAAAAAGAAAGGTCGTTTTCGGGGAGAACCAAAGGGAAGTTCCGCTTCCATTCCCCAGACTGTTAAAAAACAAAAATTTGTTTTTTTTTCTTTTTTTTTCATTAGATCTTTCTGATGAGATCGTGCCCTAGATTTTCTCCAAGGTTTTAGACAGAAAGGATATAAAATCTTTATCTGAATACCATCTATTAACCAAGCTTGGGGAAATTCTGTTTCTGATAATTGAACACCGTTATAGGTGCATTTAATATAGATTTCTCTATTCCATTCCTTAAAATCCTCGTCCCATTCGGGAATTTGAAATAATAAAATACGGAAAAGATTTTTGGCTATTATTAATGAAGGCAATATAATGTATTTTCTAAGAAAAGATTGGGTTACTAACATCAAACTTCTTATTACTTGAGTAAATATAAAGGTATCCCAAGCTTCTGATACTTCTATCTGTTCATTTTTATATTTATTTTCTTCTTCCTTTTCTTCTTTCTTATCTTCATTTTCAAAATAGGAAATTTTTAATTCTGATTCTTGTTCTCTCGCCATCCAATTCCTAAAAATTAGATTCTTAATTTCGTTGATATCAAAAAACGAAAAAAAAGATGTTTTGTCTAGACGATCCAAAAAAAGAGGAGAATGTACATTTGCTTGAAAGAGGTTCCAAATAACTGTTTTACGTCTTTGAGCGCGCATGGATCCTTTGATTAGATTGCGACGAAAATCCGATTGTTGTGAGTAACGTATCAAAACTATCTCTTCCATTTGATCATCCTTTTCATCATTGTTACTAGTATTCAGAATACTAGAAAGATAATTGGTATTCTGATCATTATCGTTATAAATTATCACAAGTTTGGCTCTTCTTGAATGAATCTCATAATATTCTTCCTCCAAATCTTCTTCATTTTCTTCTTCTTCTCCCAAATTCTCGGTTAATTTGTATGACCATCTAAAAACCTTTTTACTGATTTCTTCTTTTCTAATTCCAATAGATTTCTTTTTTATTATTTTTTGATCTTTTGTATGTGTTGTAATTACATCAAATAAAAATTGAAAATATCTTTCTTCACTTTCTGAATCAAGTCTTTTTTCTTCTGTAGAATTTAAAAATGATTGACGATGAAGTTTTACGGAATTATTAAGAAGTAAATCATGAATCTTATTTATAAAAAAAAATTCTACTAAATCTTCTGTATCTGTATAAGTATTCATGATTGCACGTGAATCTAATTCTTTTCTCGTTCCTCGATATGGTCCGTTGAAAAAAGGATCATAAGCTTTTGGCAAGCATTTCTTTTTTTTTTCATCATCACATAATATGGTTTTTTTTTCAAGCATATCCAGACTAGAGGATCTCTCATTTTGTTCTAGAATTTGGATTCGGCTTCTCAATTCATTGTTCAAATTGTACTTTTTTTTTCATTAGCATAAATCCAAGAATTATAAAGATCTTCGTCATATAGTTTTTCTATTATGTACAAAGAAATTCTTCGTTCTAGCATTTCCGAAAAAGTTGATAAACTGGGCGGATATGTAAAGGATATTATTTGTTTCCCATCACTTGCACATGTAAAAAAAAAAAATTGTGACATTTCATTGCGTAAAGCATTTTCTAATTTATCATTTTTTATATATCGTAATGGACGATTCCATCGCTTATAATCAAAAAAAAAAGTGACAAAAATTTTTTCAACCCACAATCTTTTATTTTTCTCTTCTTTCAGTCTTCCCAATTCCCAATTCTCTTGATGGGTTTCCAGATCAAAATCTTCGTAAACCGGGCTATCTTGATAGTATACCTCTTTAAAGTTAAATTCATCCTTTGTTTTTTCCTTTCCATTCACTCGGATCTCTTCCGTTTCATCTATTTTGTCCAGATCCTCCTTTTCTTCCGAACAAAAGGAAGGTTTTTCTTCGGTGGATTCCTCTTTTTCTTGTTCAGTCT